AGGGTGCCCGAGCCCTGGCCCAGGCTGCCCAGGGGGGCTGTGGAGTCTCCTTCTCTGGAGATATTCAAAGCCCGCCTGGACGAAGTGCTGTGTAACATGCTCTAGGAGAACCTGCTTTAGCAGGGGGGTTGGACTGGGTGATCTCCTGAGGTCCCTTCCAACCCTTGCCATTCTGTGATTCTGTGTGTCCCCAAGTGCCTCCGTGACTGTAGGCACCGAAAACCCTCCTGTTGCACAGAGGGGTGACTGTTTCTCTGCCGTTGGAGAGGAGTTCACGATGAAGAGTATTTCATGCCTATCGTGAGACCCGAGAGGCCTGTAAATATCAATGCTTGCAGCTGAACCTCGGTTTTACCAGCCTAGAGGATGCAAGCTTGGTAAGGTGACGTGCTCTCGGTGTAGAGGTTTTGGGGTGAAAGCGGTGTGAGGAGTAGTGGCTAAGCAGGAATCAACATCCAGCTTCGAAAATGGTGCGAATGGCAGGGACGCCTTAAAATCTCCAACCAAAAAACCCATCTCCTTGCCCAAACCCCCCCAAAAAAAAAAAAATGAGATCTAGTCTTGCATGGTTTGACGGTGATTACAGCGCGGTGTGAATTAAGCGGCCTCAGGGGACGTCAGAAGCCTGACGCTACACGGTGCAAGCAGTGAAGAGGAAGGAACAGCTCGCCCTACCACTTGCCAGGGTTCATGATTGCTCCGTTGCATTCGCTGCCTGTTTTTTTTCCCATTTAACTCCTCTCACGTTGTCGTTTTTTCTTCGCAGTGTTACAGGGACCTGGGGAACAACTCTGCCGCTCTTCTCTGGATGAATCTTGCTTCGGAGCTGCCAGTTAATACGAAAGAGGTAGCGGTCTCAGGGAGCACGCGTTGATGATGAGCAGGGATAAGATGGTTATAGACATAAAATTGTTTTCTAAAAGATGTTCCAGCTTTTAAGCCCGGGTTGTGAAGTATTTTGTTCCTTAGCGTGGATTCTTTTCCCCTCTTGGGACCTGTAATCCGAATGCCTAAAGCAGTTCAGCAAGATAATGAAAAACATTAAGAAATTAGGAGTTTGTCTGACACGGGGTTACGAGGCCAGCCCACCATCAGTGCCACTTCCCGAGCTGGGTTACAGACACATGGGACTGCCCTGTGCGTACTCAGTGCTGCAGCTCACAAACTGGAATAGCTGCAGTCTGCTTCCCAGTACCCCATTTTGGGGCAGGTTTATCCGTTTGGGCACCGTCGTGCCTGGCCAGCTCCATTCAGATGTGGCCACTTAAGCTGAGCAGTTGTCCTAGGGCTGGAGCACGGTGTTGCCTCTTCTCGTTACCCGTGGAGCTTTGGGGGAGCAGCCAACACTTCACAGAATCATAGAATGTTTTGGGTTGGAAGGGACCCCTAGAGGTCATCGTTTACCCCTCTTGGTGCCAGGCTGGCTCCTTGGCTCCTCCAGGCTGGAGCCAATGGTCCTGAGCCATTCCGAAGTTTGTGTGTGCTGCTCAGTGTGGGGTTTTTGGTTTTTTTTTCAATATCTAGGATATTTCAGCTCTTTCCCAGGTTTGTGGAGAGCAGTGTTCCCCAGCCAGGAGCTCTTTTGCACTTGCCTTTGCACTGCTGTTGAGCAGAAACCGTATAGAAGGTGCCCTCAGATTATGGCCAGTTAGAAATGGGATAAAAACACAGCAGCTTTTACTGCTGAACTGGCGTTCTCTGTGGTGTCAAGACAAGGGGTAATGGTTTTAAACTAAACCAGGGTAGGTTTAGACTGGATATAAGGAAGAAATTCTTTCCAAGGAGGGTGGTGAAACACTGGAACAGGTTGCCCAGAGAGGTGGTGGAGGCCCCATCCCTGGAAACATTCAAGGCCAGGTTGGAGCAACCTGATCTAGTTAGCGGTGTCCCTGCTCCTGCGGGGGGGTTGGACTGGGTGACCTCTAGGGGTCCCTTCCAACCCAAAACATTCTATGATTCTATGATTCTATGAAATGCAAGCGAAGTAACGAGTAACGTAAGCAAGGCCCTCCACCTCTTACAGCTTGGGCCTTAGTCTGGTGCAGTAAACGTTCTGGGTGTAAGGCAGGGTTACAGATGTGCACGGCATCGTCGTGCCGCTCTGCCCGTAAGGCCATGTCTTTAGGTTGTTGTAGCAGCAGTATTGTGCTGAGATGCAAACCGCAGCTACGCGAGAGATCCCAGCCAAGCCGCCTGGCAAGGGGCTGGCTTGCCTGTGCTACCACCTCAGGGCACCGACTGGGCTCGGTACTCGGCCCAGTCTTGTTCAACTTCTTCATCCATGACCTGGACGAGGGGACAGAGTGGACCCTCAGCAAGTTCGCTGATGACGCCAAACTGGGAGGAGTGGCTGATCCATGGGAAGGCTGCACTGCCGTTCA